AGAAAAAAGTTTGTTATATTTTATATATGAGAGATAAATATATTTTTATATATATATATATATATATATATATATATATATATATATATATATATATATATATACATATATATATATATATATATATGTATATATATATATATATATATATATATATATTTTTTTTTTAAGTTTTATATTTTTTTCTCTTTTTTTTCTAAGACTACTGCATTCCTAAACCATTTGGAAAGCCCAGATGATGATGTCATGGCTTTGTAAGCTTCTGATAGATTATTTCACAATATCTTGTGGCTGTATTATTTTTGCCTGAAAACACTATCCTATCTGAGGCTACAGCACAATATGCCGCAGATATATGATTATTGTAATATTAATGCAATATTTATAGTGCAAATGACTATATGGATATCAATAATTGCAAACGAATATATTCCAAGTATTATGAACTTTCATATTTCATGCTAATCTAACATTGAACCTGTGAGGGAAATAGGCAAATGTCTCAACTGATGTCATTAATAATATTTAACAGTGTTGTCGCTAGATTTTCTAATATTGCGCAGCCCTTGTTCTTACTGAAGTACAGAGGTGGCAGTATCATGCTGTGGGGAGGGGTTTGTCAGAACCACATGCTGCAGACATCTCTGTTCCAGACCATCATGAAGTGGTGACACAGTGAACCTACTGTGGTTTTCAGTGGTGATGTTGAAATCTGCTGTTTTGGGAAAAAGCTCCAAAGGTTCTTCTCAACCTTTGTAAATATGCAGTTCTCCTTCACAGATCTGGTGTCAAACAAATATTTTATTAATTCGGTCAAAGAAGATGAAAGGTCTTTCTGAAAGCCATTGAAGGCCAGATTTATCCCCATTCATGCTTATGGTTATTGGAGGGACGTTTCTGACGGAAACTGCTGGCTGTTTCTTGAAATGTTTGTGACAGAATGAGGGGGCAGCAGCCTGATGTGTAAAATGTGAATTAATGTCTGTTGCTGTTTTCAGATGCACCAGTATCGTGTGCAGTGCAAATATCAACCCAGTGAAATATCTGACCTCGCAGACCAGCGGCCCACCAAAGAGACCTCTAAACGGATACATGAGATACGTTCTCCAGCAGAAACCAGTCGTGATCAGTGAAAACCCAGGTAACCAGCAGCTCTGACCTTTTAAGAGGAAAATGTCAACATGGCAATTGATCGGCCCTGATTTTCTTATTTTTGGGCGATTGGTCGATACTAGCGTGTAAAAAACCCAGCCTGATATTATCTTCTTCCACAAAGGTCTGAAAATCAGCCACTATCTATATTATCTTGCAGGTCATTTCAAGGTGTGGAGCGTGTCTCTCATTGGGGGGCGCCAGAGCTCTTGAGTTTGATCTTTGTGATATGAAGAAAAAAAAATTACGAAAAATTATTAGCGGACATTTTACCAACCTGACATGATAGATTTTGTTTACATCCAGAAACTTGGCGCCTGTGCGCAGTGCTGGAGTGTGTTTGTGGTGTGTTTCAGTTCAGCTAAAAAACAAAAAAAGGCGACACACACGCGCACACACACACACACACACACACACACACACACACACACACACACCGATTCTGAAATCATCAGTAGAGCAGGAGTTTAAATGAGCTAATCAACCACTGCTGTGTACAGACAGTCACTTATTAATAATCGTAAAATAAACATCAAGCCTGAAAACACGATACTGCAACGGACTGAATGTCCTGTTCTCTGTGTGGGAAATGTTTGTGTTGAATACTCATACAACAGAGCCTTTGTTGTCAGTCAGTTGCTATGGCAACAAGTCTGTGTGCAGCACAGCCGACACAGAGAGTGAGAAAAACAAAGAATGCCAGTGGCTTTGAGTTGATGAGGTGAAGTTTTTATAGATCAATGATCGGCTTGTAAACTGCAATCAGTCCATTCCTAATTTCCAGTGTTTTTTTTTTTTTTTACTCTTCACGGTCACTGTGGCTTTAACTGGACACTTCCAGACCCAGCTGAGCTATGTTACAAACTCTGACAACTTGCCCTCTCCTGGAAGAAGGAGAGTATATGCTGAATAAGAAGAAAGCTTAACATTTCATCAGAACAAATCAGAAATCCACTTAGTCAGATCCATAATATTCCATTAAAAAGAGCGTGTACAGTAGAGTATGTTTACTGTATCCTAGTAACTCGGCTGGCCAGCAGCAGCCTCTTCTGCTAATCTTTTCTCGAGCCGGGTTTAATAAGTCTTTGCTGGGAGGATTAGATGAGCTGTTAATCCAGTGTTATCACAGCTCTGAACTTGTAATGGCAGACGCTGCAGATCTGAACCAATGTGTCTGTGTGATTTTTGAATGTCCAGCTGTTACAGGACATCAACATTTATTCAAATAAATACTGTTCCAGCTGTAAGATTACTACATTTTTTATTCTGTTGGGATTAATCTGAAGATGTTTGCTTAGATTAAAACTAAACTGACTTTGAATATGAAGGATTCTCACCAACGCTGTGAACCACGTTAGAGACGTCTAAAAGATTAGTCAGGTCACAATGAAGAACAATCACACTCAGTTCCTGATTCAGAAACTCAACATATTAAAAATCATGATATTTAGAGAAAATAAAAATTAAGGTGATTATTTTTAACCTGTAATGGATTAAAGTCTGTATCTGGTTCTTCTCAGTTAATTATTACAAAAAAGTCCTTCATACATTATTTATTGAATGAATGGCTATAACTATAAGGATATGAAGCAGACTAACTAGCAGTTAGCAAACAAACAGAAAGGCCGTCATTAAATCCAGGGTCAGTTCTGTCAGATTACGGTCAATGTAATATTGCAAGACAGAAGTCAAGGTATTAGGAGCAGAGGTTGACTGACAGGGTCACATAATCTATTTTTACCCATGAATTCCTAAAATGATAATAATAACATATTCAGTTGGATTTCATTTTTATTTGGTTTAATCATTATTGAACAAGCTGAACAGAGACTCTGCATCGTGTCATCACACATCAAGCAGATGAAGACATGCAACTTTTTCTCCTCACTGACAAAAACCACAGAGTGGTGATGAACAGAGTGAACCATGAAATGAAACGATTGCACTCTAATCACACCTGGGTTATGAACGATTCTGTCTGAACGAACTGTCTCGCGACTTCCTCAAGTTCCCAACCTCAGGGTTTGGATGTTGATCTGCTGCTGAACTGAAGACTGAAATTACAAGTTCTACTTTGGGCAAAGTTTTGAAATCAGGTCATATTTCTCTTGATCAGAAGTCTGAACAAGATGCAGATTTAGTCCAGGTCAGAGATGATGCTCATGTGGGGAATTTTGGATTTTCAATTGTGTAAAATTGAATATGTCTGCACCAAGCGGTCAGGTGTGAGTGAAAATAGCAGACAACCTTCTGATTTTCCCATCATAGTTTAGAAAAACATTCCAAGATGAAAAATATTCAGTTAACATGACCCCTGATCAGATGTGCAATTAATGTTTAAAATATTTTGCGCATATTGTGGTTTTATATTGCAGCTGCTGGGAGCTTATCATATTAAAAGCTTAAATATTCCATAGTGGAACATTGTTAAAAATATGGATGTGATATTTAATGACTGAGATGCCAAAGCTGACATGGAATGATGAGGAAACAAAAGAGGTAGAAAATGTTTCCAAATCATCATTTATTTAGCTTTTGCGAAATTTAGCAATAATATGGCAAACATAAGCACCTTATTCTTGACCCTGGATCAATGTGCAGACCTTGAGAGGAAGAAAAGAGCATGAGACAGATCATGTGATTCTAATCAGTCTGCCTTTCATTGGTTCCCCTTCAGAAATCAAGCTGGTGGATGTAGTCAGGAAGATCGCCCAGCAGTGGAGGATGATGAGCCCAGAGCAGAAAGAGGTACTACTAACTCCATTAGGATTTGTTGGAGTCCTCCTGAAATAAAAACCAAACTCTTCCGTCCTATTGTGTGTTTATGTCAGACTCATTCTCATGTGTAGAATGAGTCTGACATTTTACCTGCTGTTGCCTCCGTGTGGTAATCATCATGTCAGCTTCCTGACTGAGCAGACCCAGCTGTGGACTAAGTCCATTGTCTCTCCTCCAGCCGTTCCAGCAGGCCTCGGTCCAGGCTATGAAGCAGTTCAAGGTGGACCTCCAGAAGTACCAGGCCCAGCTGAGCCCGGCTGAGCTCCAGCAGCAGGTTCTGGAGAAGAGGCAGAGGATGGCTAAACGGAAGGCCATCAGGAAGAAGAGGGTGAGAAGATGATTATCTGGTTGGCATGCAGGGTTCTTCCTATGCAGCCTGGAGGAAAGGTCTGGAATTACGTCTCAGGATAAGTGTGGAAAAACAAAACAGCTACTTTCAGACTTTAATTCCACCTCCAATGTCTTCCTTTCATCCTTCCTTCCTTGTCCCGTCTTCCCTACTTCTCCCTCACTCCATTCTTTTTTTGTGTTCTCCTATCTTCCTGTCCTTCAAATTCACTTCAGGAAATGAAAGATACTGCTGACAATGTTAATTTTTTGTTGATTCTGCCATAACAAAAACATATTGTCACCTTCCTAAAAAAATAGCATAAGTCATTTTTTTTTTCAAACTTTGTTCGACATAGTATTATATGTTTATGACTGCTGTAATATATATATAAAAAATCCTGTAATCACTCACACACAGTTAATATTAAAATTCAGCTGTGTGGAACTGTGATGTAATTGAGTTTTGGCTCAAAGTCATTTTATTATTACTGCATAAAGCTGTTCAATAATAATTACATACAAATAAGTGTGTGTGTGTGTGTGTCTGTGTGTGTGTTTGCGTGCGTGTGCGTGCACGCATGTATGTGTGTTTCAGGAGTTGAACGTCCTTGGGAAACCCAAACAGTGTCGAACTCCTTTCAACATCTACATGTCGGAACATTTCCAGGAGGCCAGAGGAACCACCACCCAGGTGGGACGACCACACTGTGATCCTCATTCTCTTCCACTTTGTTACATCACTAACAGCTGACCAGGGAATTTAGTAAAGAGGAACTTTAATCACAAACCTGATGCTCAGGTTAAGTCCAATGATTAATCATCCTGTCATTGTACTGCTGGAGTTTACTGAGCTCCTGAGAACAACCCAATGTGTATAGAAGCAGTCTGCATGACTGACAACTGGCTTATGTGTACCAGTGTGTGACACGGTGTACCAAGACAATGAAATCCCACCTTAACTACTTTACAGTGAAGAATCTAAACTGTGAACACCTGTGAAATTTACTAAAAATATCTTGTTGCGAATGTTTCAGGCCAAGTTGAAGTCGCTGTTGGATGATTGGAGGAATCTGTTCAGCCATCAGAAACAGGTTTGGTTCCTCCATGATTTATATTTTTCTTTGGTTTGTTCACCTGTCGAGTGCATCGAGACGTTCTGCTGATCCTTCTTTTACGCCTCAGGTCTACATCCAGCTGGCTGAGGACGACAAGATCCGCTATAAGAACGAGATCAAGTCCTGGGAGGAACACATGATTGATATCGGACGTGAAGATCTAGTCCGGGGACAGACCCAGAGCAAAAAGAAAAAAACTGCTGCTGTGAGGAAAGCAACAAAGAAGACTGCAGCTAAATCGGTGAAGAAGGCCACTCTGTTTTTTGTTGGCAAAAAACAGAAGTCAACAACATCCAGTAAGGCGAAACCGAGTGCTTCAGCTAAAACTGTCCAAAAAGACTCTCCAAGAAAGCCTAAGATGTGATTAGAAGTGAGTCCAAACGACTGAAACTAGCTCACCTTTTTGTTTTGCTTCATTTCTTTTTTTTTTTTTAGTTTGACCACATCACGTTAGAACTGACTCTTATCGCCTCATATTCTTCTTTTACATATTCTAACAAATAAACCTCTACTTTCATAGGTCTATTTTTACATAATGTGAGTTCATTATTTCTGTCGCAGCTCAGTCTGAATCATGTCGAATTTTATTTACAGTGTTTTCTCCTTCAAATGAGCATATGTGCTGATAGTAAGATTGGAAGGTTTTTTTTTTTTTCAGACTGTTGTCTCTTCAGTCTGCATCGATTGTCTCCGTCCAAAAACAAGTCCTCTGAATTATAGTCCTCTGAATTATAGTATTACTGGAAAGACTGACCCTTGATAAGATATTCTGTATTTGTTACAAAAAGAAAATGAAAACCAACAGTGTCCATTGTTTTTTCTAAAAAAAAGTTTTCAGCTAGAGATGGTGGATCCTGGCTGCTTTCTACATTTGTTGCTGCACCTGAAGGCAGTAATATGGATGTTATGTAAAGACTGTATGAAAATTTTTATGATGGTATTTGTTCTTTTTAGCGATGAATTTAATAATTAGTCACAATAACTTAAGGTATTTATAATGATGGGCCAATTGACACCAAAATCTCTGGGGAATGTTCCTGACATCTTGTTGAATAAATACTGTAAAGAACTAGGACTGGTCTGGAGGCAAAGAGGGTGTCCAACCCGAAGCCAGCATGGTGCATCTCGTATGTGTCAAATTCAAGGACCAGGAGACAAATCTGGCCCACCATAACAGAACTTGAAAGTATATCTTTTCATTGTTGAAACCTGTGACAGTATGCTATGAGGCAGATAATCTGTCTACAATCAAGCTCCTCTGCCTTCTCCCAGTGCTAACTAGAAACAACCAATTAGGACAAAGAGGCGGGTCTTAGTGCTGTCAATCACTCTTTTGTACCCTCCCCCACTGGTACGGTACAGCTTCTTCCTGATAGGAGAGCCTGCTGTGAATGCTAAGGCTAGTTAGCATGGCCACCGATGATGGCAGATGCATAGATTTCCTGTAGCAGTAAATTGTTTCTTCACCATTAGCATATTGAACAGGGAGTACGCAAAGTTGATTGACAGCGCTAAGACCCGCCTCCTGGCTCTGATTGGTTGCTTTTGGTCAGCAGCGGTGCATTTCTTCTGACTGCAGTAACAGCACAGAGAAGGCAGAGGAGATTTAGCTATTCACAGATTATATAATATTGTCATAACATGGTCAACAAATATGTCAAAAATATTTTTTTTATAAAAGTTACACAATGCAGCTCTAAAGATAACAGTTGTGGGCTTAAATATTTGATCACTTTAGGCTGATTTTCTATGAGAAATACCAAATTACATCAATATGAGAAGATGGTTCAATGTTATTTAATTTTAAGAAGTGCTCATAGAATGCATCTGCTTGTTACAATTTTAGCAGTTAAAATGGTTTGTTTTATGAATACATTCTGCCACTTTGCAGATATTTGAAAGTTTGATTTGATTTGGCTCAAAATAAAAATGAGTCTGACACCCCTGGTGAAAGTGGTGGAACTAACTGTAGAGGGGATATTCAGACCTCACCTCAAGCTTGGAATGAATCTCGTTTATTAGCCCCAAAAACATCAAAGATTTTTTAGATTTAATAGGTTTAAAAGTTTCTCACAGTGAAAGTAGAAAAATAAGTCATCTTCATAAAAACAATGTTTTTTCAGTAACAAATGTTGAACTGTAATATTAGTCCAATAGTCCATCTATTCACAGTTTGCAGACATGAGCCTCATGGCTGCTGTGCAGCCACCTGCCTCAACAAGGACTGGAAGTCAGGAGACAAAACCAGCTTGTGATGGACGTTTCCCAGCACCATCATGTTCCCAGTTCTCCCACCCGACAAACGGACCGACACCAGTTGCTGAAAGATAAAAAAGAAGCAGCATTCCTGTCAGAGGTAATGGGGATGGAAGCTGGAGCACAGGAAGCTTCAGCAATGAGAAGAAGCCTGGTCTGGAAAACACTCCGAATATTACTGAAATAATTAGAATATTTCATATTAAAATGTCAGGGCAAACAGAAGGAAAGGCATGGGAACATTTTACATTTTGATGACAATGTAAACATTTTGCAGAGCGAGGAGCAACAACATCTCATAAGAAATACATTTCAATTTAGCCAACTAAACCTAGACTCAAAATGACTATATATGATTTAATTGGACACAAAATAAAGTGATCTTTTAGTCCAAAGACCGACACTAAAACTAAATTCAAATGTGCTTTAATAATTAACACTGTTGCCATGACAGTGGATCCGACATATTGGAATAATTTTGGCATCCGGCATCCATTAGGAACAGGAACACTGACCTGCAGGAAGGAAAAAGCAGCTCCTTCTGACACATCCAGGATGATGTCACCCAGCTTTAGCTCCACCTTTCCCGACTTCCTGATTTGTAGCTTGCCCAAAAATCCCTCAGGGAATTCTGAGAGGACAAGGGAGCCGTCCATGTTCCTGGATTCCTGGAGAAAGTCGGGAATATGAGCGGACCAGGTGTCATGGCTACCACCTTTCAGGTTTCTGCATATTTTATTTCCATTTTTGAATTACAGGGTTTTACAAACATCTCTGTTCTTTAAAGTCAATTTAAAATAAAACATGTATTATGAATTTATGGCAGAGTGAAATTCAAAATACCGGAAAGAGATAAGAGGAGAACTCCTTCAGTGTAGTCATGGTAACCTGGTGTCCTATCAGTAGTCTGCTTCCTTGTCTCTCATGTTGTGAGGTAGATAGGTAGGTAGGTAGAGCCCCTCATTTTTTTTTTTGTTTTTTTTTTAACAAACTTAAACAAATTTCTACAAAACATTTTTACTTTGCTGTTATGTGAGTGCAGATCTTTCAGGGGGAAATCAGTTAAAACCATTGTGCAATAAAGTTGTAATAATAAAATGAAAATCTGAAAGAGTGTGAAAACTGTCATTTGAACCAGCTGATAAGGTTCATGTTTTTAGCTAATCAAGTCTGATGCGTAAGCCTTATTGGAAAGCATCATGGCATCAAGTGCAGTCTTCACTCACTTGCTGTGCTGACTTTGTGTCTGTCTTTGAAGGTTTCTCTGTCGCTCCTCCATGATGAAGGTCTGCTTTCGGTGCAGAGTGTCTGCCAGGAAGACAGTCTGGAAACTGCATGAAGAACAGCTCTTCTCCTCCTGAAACACTGAGTTCCTGCAGCATTTTTACCAGAGACAACTGCTCAGATTTCTGCCAGTCAGTCAAGAGGGCTGCTTTTCCATCAGCACCACAGGGTGGCGCTGTTAAGACCAGGAGGTCGTCTTGACCTGCTGAGCAGCAGGTAAGGAGAGGAAGCTTTAGAATCACGTTTTATAACACAACCTGGTCTTCTTCTCACAACACAAAACTTTACATTCTTAACAACAGAACTCCTTTAGAGCTGTAGTATGTAACATTTATAAACTATATGTTTTTATTTTTACATATTTGTTAAAGCTGTCATCATGTTCAGACAAAATATGAGACAGATAATCTGAAAACATTGAGCTCCTCTCCCTCCATGTGGTCCTACTGCCATCTGCAGAAATACACCACTCTGTCAGAAACAACCAATCAGAACCAGGTGGAGAGATCAATCATGCCTGAGTATGAGTTACCCACACCCTCCCCCTTGGTCTATGCTAAGCTACAGCTAATTCCCCACAGCGGAGCTTGATGTTAATGCTAGTTAGCATGGACACTGATGATGGTGGATAAGCAGTTTTCTTGGGAAGATAAGTTGTTCCTCTCCCAATAGTACACTAAGCAGTGTGTACACAAGCATGACTGACAGCGCTAAGACCCTCCAGGCTCTGATTGGTTGTTTTCTGGCCAATGCTAACTGCATTTGTGCAGTTAACACTGGGAGAAGGCAGAGGAGCTGGATTTTTTTTCCAGAGATTATCTCTCATATTAAACTGTCATGACATGGTGGACATGGTGACAGTTTGAAGAAATATGTAAAAATCATATTGTTTATAAAAGCTACATACTGGAGCTTTAAGGACATGATATTCTATTTAATTCAAATGAAAAACAAAGTAATTCATTAAAATATGAAAGCTATAAAAAGCTACAATAACTTGGTGTGAATGCCCATAAACTAACAATTTGTTTATGCAAACACTTCATTTTAAACTGAGTCTGATTAACCTGGAGAAAACAAAATTCAGTCGCAAAGCTTCTGCTGCTATTTATTAATAGAGAACCACCTGAAAGCTGAAAGTCCAGGAAGACAGGAAGTAAAAGGAAGCAGAATGGACGAGTGGAAGCAGTGAAACCCAGACTGGTCTCTTACATGTTGCGGCAGATGGCCTGGGACGCCTGGTGAAGCTGCTGGACTGATACAGAGGCAGGGCGATGGGGTTCAGGTGGGCATCATTCCTCAACTCTGGATCAACTATGAACTGTAGGAGGAGCAAACACTCAGAGTTAGAACCAGAGGATCTGTTTGGTTTTAAAGAGTCCTGAGATAACCTTTACTGTGTCCAATCCAGCACGATTAATCATATGTGTTTAGCTGTTTTTTTATGGCTGCAAATAATAACAAAAATAATGGACTCAACAAAACAGATGGATGTTACAACTGGGCCACATGAGCTTGGTTTGAAAGTCCAGTAAACGCAATATGTTTCAATGGAGAAATAAATTTTTTTTATTCAAAGTCATGTCTTGATTTATTCCACAGTAAACCAGCAGCTATAAATGGTTATTGTGATTTCACTGCTGATTCTTTTTGCTTCATAGTTAAATCGCCTTATTAATTCTGCAAGAGAGACAATAAATATATCTCTGTGGAAGGTGAACTTAAACAAAAAATACGACTGATCATACCAACATGGTCAGAAGGACCCTGTTGGCATGGGTCTCTTCTTATAAATCAAAATTTATAACCAGTTTTTTGGCTGCTATTAAAATTAGTTTAGTGATCAGAAACGTGGCACAAAAAGGGGAAAAAAACAGAAATCTTTCAGGTGCTTTTCACTGCCCCTTCCAAAGCCAGGGTTACAGATGTTGTTTTAGGCCACATGTAGCACAAGGGCATGAAAAATGAAAAATTATTTGAGAGAATGTGTGAATAATGGGCATACAAAGCTGTGTCAAGAATCACTCACGTCGTCTCGCTGCAATTTACTGAGAAGATGATCTTCATCCTCCGTTGAATTCTTCCCTTCTTTTTTCATAGGTCTGCAAACAGGAGATGCAGAGGAGCTCTGCAGGCCTCTGGCACCATGCCGGCCTGCAGGGAAAAGGATGACATCAACCAGGGTCAAGTCCAAGTGTGCTCATGTGCCACTGAGAACGACAGGAGAAGACAGAGGAGGCCCACCTGTTCTGTAATTTGAGACACCAGGACATTGTTCAAAGATGGAGTGGGACTGGATGACCTGAGGTCTCACTTTCCTCCCACCTCTGCTCTCTTTTCTCTTCGCATCCCTTTCTCTCTTTTCCTTTTTAGGAGCCACAGGGTTTTCTGTTTGTAGCCTGGGGAAGGTAGCTGGATCAAAGAGGGGCTCTTGCAAAAACATGCTTATTACAGTCTAACAGTCACTCACTCATCTTTCAGTTTTCTCACAGCGTGGACATTAGGCTCCCATGTCTTCTACAGAGCAGAGAAACAGAATAAATAGGATATATCATAAATATTTGTGTTTATTTCAAAAAAAGGAAATGCTGCATACATATTAGTTTAGCTTAGACTAATACAAATAACTTGGCTAAGATTTGTACAGTGAAAAAAACAAACAAACAAAAAAGGGAGAAATGTGAATATGTAGGTGGAAGGTTTTCCCAACAGTTGCATTCAGGGGAGGCCATTTATCTTATAGTTTATCAAATATTGTGAAAAATTGCTTATCATGATAAAACTTTTTGATTTATCATATTCAGGATATATTTCAGTTATTGATGTTAAATCATAAAACAAAACTAACAGTATAATTGGAAATGCTACTTTTGCTTTTTTTTGTTTGTTTCCCCGCTAAACATATTGGTAAATTAGGGCTAGCACTGTTGCCTTGCAGCAAGGAGGTCCTGAGTTCGATTCCCGCCTCGAGTCTTTCGGCATGGAGTTAGCAGGGTGTGAGAAAATTAATGGATATTAGTAAATTCGAAAATATAATGAACAAAAACAACCTTAATGAGCAGCTCTTAAAAGATTTAACATGATTGGCTTTATTAGATGTTATCATAATTCTTACGTTACAATTAATAATTAAATTATTATTGCTTGACATTATTGGTGTGATTCTCATGTTTTTGTGAAGAACATCATTTCAGCAAACTGTCTAAAAAGCGGTCCCTACCTTTGTCTTCCTGAAGGCTCCCCCTAGCGTCAGGTCCCTGGTTCTGAGCGATGGCAGCCTCCCCCGCTGACTGGAGGAGCTCAGGCTCCAGACTCGGCTCTGCTCGGCGCTTCCAGTTCGCTCTGGCCCGCTTCTAAAGCCGGAGCAGCTCGGGCCGCTGGCTGCATTCCCCGAGTCGCTCATTTCTAGAAGCAGTTTGCTTCTCTCCTTCAGGTCTGACTTTAATATGACGGCACCTCAGGTTTCTTTCTAGTAACAGTACTGTATTCACTCAGTGTATAAACACATAATAACACTGACAGTTTTGTAAAGGCGAATCCAAACAAACCCCGTCCTCCATATTACCTTCTTGTCTTATCCTGGTTTAATAAATGATGCAAAAAAAGAAAGAAAAACAACCAACCAAACAATTAAAAATACAATCCCTTTGCGTCCCGGAAATGCTAAGCCAAAAATTTCCAGAACAGCATTAGCATCTGTATTTTAGCTTCTGTCTTTATTTTTCCAGAAAAATGAATAGTTATGTTTGGTTTAAAATGGTGGTTTTCAAGAGGCTTCGAAGCATACAAAATAAAGAAAATACTTTCTATTTGCTTTTGTCCCTGGCTTTGAAATGGCGTCGATCTTTTCTTTCCAGAGTTGATTCTTCTGACTGTTGTTTTTACTGACCGTTCAAAACAGCACACAGCGGTAAACAGCTTCTTCTTTGTAGCTTTCTTCTTCTACTACTTCTTGTTCTGGCGGTGGCAGACATGTTGTACATAACCGCCACCGTCTGATAAAGGATAATTTTACAGTTTGTAGGACGATGCTACATTTTGGTGATGTTTCCCATCAGAAACCAGAAATGACAAAATAAACCAAAAAAAGGTAATTATTTATTTTTTGTCTTAAAATACAAATTGTGAAATTCAAATATGAATATGTGTAGCTAAAACAGGTGATGAAAATTTTTTGTTTGGTTTCGTTTTCATTTCATGTTTAAAATATTAAAAACTGAAAATAATTTGGTTCAGAGAAACGAAAATAGCAATCATATTTTCATCATTGTAAAAGCAGGAGCCTAATTCTGGGACTATTGTATATTGTGCCTCTGGGGGGCGCTGTTTTTCCTGCACCTTGGTTTTCCTCTTTAGGCAGAGGATGTAACAAACTGATAGAAGTGGGACTGAAAATATTGTGTTATCTAAAGAATATGAAGGATTTTAAACACCTACAGAAAGAAGGGTTATTAAATACGATTGATTTCTAAACTGTTTTCCTTAAAGTCCATATAAATGCATGTTTTCTGTTAACAGTCATCAGAATAACTATATCCCTACAGACTTCTCTTGTAACTAGGGAATAGGTTGTATAAAAGTATCTAAGTAAACAGCAATAACATGTATGATGGCAGTGTTATTGCATAGTTAACATAAGTACAGACAGATATGGGACATGAACAACTTGGAATCACAGGAACTGGCCACTGATGGTCACATGCTCACCAGGCTCATAACATTGTATTTACCTTTAATTCTAAATGAGGCTTTAATAAACAGCAATAGGTCATTTGTTCACAAAGTTGTTTTTCCGTCACATAGTGGTAGCCTGCCTGATGAGTGTTTCTGGACACACAAAGCTATGTCATGGTATATTCCTGTCAACATGGCCACAATTAATTTCTTTTGTGTCTTTATATTTATTCGTATTAAATATGGAACAAAAATGAAACTAAGATTACATTTTTTTCATCAACAGTTAATTCAGCTGAACAAAATGAGTAGTCGAAAACCTGATAAAACATTTGCTCTAGCACAGCAGGACCTTCCTTCTTCTCATGTGCATTAGATATGTTTGCACATATCCATGACCCATTGTTCTTTTCAATATTTTATTTTTAAATCATCATTCCTGTCATCTTAATATTACCTTCATCTTCTATACATAGATGGTATTTTTTATTTTAATTGTTTCCAAGTATTAACAATAACTTACTCAGTCCAATATGTCCCACTTTCAGTGTTGTATCTCTTCTTGTCTACTTCTTTTACTTTATCTATGGCACTAAAAACATGTAATATCTTTAATAAATCTCTTCATTTGCTATTTGAACTTTGTCACTCTTGCCACAGATGGCTCATTTTAAGTCTGTTCCTTCAGCTCATTCCTTACTACTTCTAACCATCATAAATATATTCTAGACTGAAAGCCCTCTGTGTATAATGATCTGCAAATGTGTTCTTGAAATTCATTTTCAGAGATATTCAAACAAACCCCACATCAAGAGCCACATTTCCATCTTAAATAAACGCAATGTTGCTTCATAAATAAAGTCTGGTCTTTGTGATATGAGCACAGAATGCTTTGCGTAGCTGACTTTGTATATATTTTCTTTTTTTTTCACAAGATGACATCAATCTAAAACAAATGGACTACGAGCAGTTGAGCACAGGGAGCGGGTTAGGTTGGGCATTCAAGTTTAATGGTCAGAAAATAATTCATTAGACTGCAACAATTACAATGCCATGTTTTATCGTAAGCTTTTCTTTAATAAACATGAATGGGAAAACATTTGTTCTGCTAAGATTTAATTAATTTCTTCCCTTGGAAGAATGGTGCAGCAAGTGTTCGAACACAAAACAGTGTGGAATTCAGTTAAATTCAAAAATACTTCATATACTTTAGCTTATATTACTCAAGCTTTTTAAAGAGTTGTTGAAGATGCTGATGGCTGATCTCCTTTAGCTGTTTGTATTAACATAGACCTGAAGAAGCCTCTGACTGTCAACATGTTGTTGAATAACAGTCATTGCCCTTTATATTCTTTATTTTAAGAATCCTTCTTTGCAAGATCATCTCTAGAGATTCCAGAACAGAATCTGTCAGTTTCTTCAGCTTTCTAAGTCCAGGCTCTCATGCTGCTTCCCCAACAGATGATGCCAGATAACACGGCTCCCTCCATAACAGACTTATAGAATATATGCAACATCTTGCAGTAAATGCTGAAGATTGAGTGAGCAGGCGCAATATGTTTTACGGTAAAAGACATGGATTAAGAGGAAAAATTAATTAATTTGCTTGATTTCTGTTAACTACCAAGAGCAAGAATTGGATCAGAGTATTTTGTATATTCAAACACTGTAAGAGAACCTTTACAGTGTTTACATGTGTCTGGGATCCAACCAAACCGAATGCAAATAAACAAGTTTCTACCACAGCTGCCTGGTGGCACATTTGCTGATGTGATATAAGTTTTCTTTGTCAACATTGCACCTGTACTTTTCAGGGTGTAGGTGAGATTTTATGTGCCATTTCTTGTGAACTGACATTGTATGTATGAATGAAATGAATTATAAGTGAAATGAGCTGTGATCTTCTTAGATGGAAGAATGAACATTTTTATATGAGGCATGAAGCTTGTATTCAAATTTTAAACAACATAGGCTATTGTTGAGCTTGCTCTTAATACAACATAAATTTCAGGTCACTTTGCTTCCTCTAAAGTCAGCAGATCTCTGGATTTGAATCGTGAGACATTTTTGACCTTTTGCTGATCTGTTAGATCAGCAAAAGGTCAAAAATGTCATATTCTAGTCCAGTGGTTCTTAACCTGGGTTCGATCGAACCCCAGGGGTTCGATGAGTCGGTCTCAGGGGTTCGGCGGAGCCTCTGCCGCGGAGGTAAAGACACACTTGTGTAAAGTCGTGATGACGCACCCCGCTTTGCCACCACTTAAAGTGGTTCCAGTTTCTCTCGATGGCCAACCTGTTGAAACTGTGGGAAATTTGGGTTGTTCC